ATTGTTACTGTTGTAATAGATACAGATGTTATTATAATAGATTACAGATTGTGTAGTTGTGAGATTGAATTACCTCCACCTATATATAAAATAAATAAACTAGCTCCACCTCCAAAACAATGTAAAAATACTTATCATAAATGCATCACCGATCACTGGTATTAATATCTGTATGACAGCATATATTTTCAATGACAGGACACTTGTTTTCAATATATCCAATATTACTCTAATCATTTGATCAGATTTAATAGTTTTCCTCCAAATCACATTTTCTTTGTAGGACTTCACTTCTTCTGCCTGTTTTTAAAAACATTACATCACATACGACTGAATGAGCTGTGTGTGATTCAGTGATGACTTTTCCTCTTGTGTTTCCTGATGACGTCTTTTATTGGTGCTCGTGCACATGAACAGGCGCAGCGCCATCTTGATACCAGTGCACGCTGGTAACAGGGTGACGTCAGCAGTGACGGGGGTTCGCGTGGGAGATTGAGGCCTGGGTTTGGTCTGTCAGGCACACAGACCTCATAAAGGGATTGGGTGCCGGACTATAAATATTGTACAGTAGAAACTGTGTGGAATACACGTGTGATAAAGTATTAAGTGAGTGGTATGATTGGAGTGGTAGTAGTATTACCAAAATACAATGTGGAACAACAGTGTTATAATCAAATCCAATAGCATGCACAGACAATAACATGTTGTAGGAGTACAAACTAAAATACATTAAATGATAGAAAATACATTTTAGCAAGAAGTGTATGTAGTAAAACTAGTAGATCAGATATTAGTGAGTATTAAATGGATAATAAATATAGTAAAGATGATATCAAAGACAGAAAGTCTCCAATCTTTCCTTTCAACACTTTTTAATTGATGTGAATCACTGATCCCGTCTTTCTGCCTCGAGTAGAAGTCATGATGGCGCCTCCCTGTGGACAGCATCTGGTGCAGCAGCAGCAGCAGCTCTGTCTCCAAACAGCTGATCTCAGACTCTTCTCTCCTGAGAACATCCGGTGAGTCCAACAGTCTCTTCACTTCTTGTTCTTCGAGACATTTGTTTGAGAAGATGTTTCACCAGAGAAGCTGAAGCTCGTGTTTTGTTTCTGTTGCTTTGTGTCTTAAAGAGAGTTCCCTCTGCTCAAAGTGAGAATACAAAGAATTGAACTGATTCGTTTGTTTGCTGTTTATCCCTGAAAGTGTTGGTGTGTTGTTAGTTGATCTCTGGACTCTTTGTTGCATCATTCAGACTTTTTCTTTTCTCACTTCTTTATATTATAGTTCTTTGTGTTTACAGACGAAATGTTTGTTGATTCAACTTGAGAAGTTTCTTGAGAGTCAGTGAGAGTTGAACAACTGTTGTTGAAGAACGGGACTCTTGTATTTTACATGAAGCTTTATTTCACTGTGAAGTATTCAACTTCTCTGGATTTAGACAATAAGGATTCATTTTTATGAGATCAGGAAGTAGATCAGGAAGTAGATCAGGAAGTCACTTTCGGAGGGAAACTGCAAAGGCCTCACCTCAAGGCCTCACCTGAAAAAAAAAACACCCCTGTTCCATTCAAACTGGGAGGCCTGCCAGGCCGGCCATAGTACGGCCATTCGCCAAGCACCGGACCGGTCGCAGCGTATGTCCGTACTGTGGCCGGCCTGCAGGCAGCCCCCCCCCCCACTTGTCTTGTAGAGATTGTGTCAAGATCTAGTTTTAAAACTTAAATATGTTTAACCAAATTGTGATCTGAATCTAGTTTTTAACTTATAAGGTCTCTGTGGCTTTTCCTCCTTTACCTCTAACATGGAAGCATGCAAACTGTGTGCATCACAAATTATACAGTCACAGATGCATGTACTGTTTTGACTAGCAAACACCTATGAGCACATGCATGCACACAAACACTTCCCTCCACAGCTCGAGGCAAAACACACAAAGCTACTGTGGCCCTCAAATAAACCCCAACAGACAATTGAAGGCCTCAGTATCAGGTGAACTCCCAGTCAGTTTCACTGGTTAACTGTGAACACATGAGCTGTATGAAAAGTCTTGGAAACTATTAAAGGAGTTATCATTGAAAAACAAGCCCATACTTATAAACCACAGTGATATAGGACAAGTATTTGACTACATGTGGCGTTAATGGAGAATTTTCAGTCATAAACATAAATGTTTTTATTTGATAACCATATATCTCTGAATGGACTGTGTATCTGTTTGAAGTGACTGTTTTTGACATTTGTTGTAACAAAGTCAAACACATAACTGCAGTGACACATACAACAATAATAGAGAGATGCACAACTACAACAAAGAGGCACAAAATTTGGACAAAAAGACACACAATGACAATTACCAAACTTAAAGATACAGTGTGTAAGATTTAGGGGAAAGGGAACTATTGGCAGAAATTTAATGTAAAATAATCCTCATGATGTTTTCACTAGTTTGTTTCATCTAAATTGTATGAATTGTAGTTTTCTTTGCCCCAGAAAAGACCCTTTATATTTAAATACTTTATATTTACATCGAGGGGACCCTCTCTACGGAGGCTGCCATGTTTTTTTACATTAGTCCGGACAGGAGAAACTAAAAACCTTTTGAGTTTTTATGACAACTGTACCTACCACAGGTTCTTTTTCATGTTTGGAAGGGGAGGGTGAGGTGAGGGGTGTTCAGCTGTATACACACTGTATATACACTGTACCTTTAAATGGTTACAAACCACAAAAAGAAGTATTAGGTTCTAAATGAGACACAATAGGAAATAAAAAATGTTTGCAGATGTTTTGTGTCTCTTTCAGTCTGGGCGACTCGCTCCTGTTTAGGGTTACACATGTCTGTACCCATAATCATCACACTGTCCTTCGTGTTGGCTTACTTAGTCAGGCACAGTAATACAGTATCATCTTTAAATATTGGCCTTGTGAACTTTATATCACATTAAATAATTAAGTACATGATGCTGCACATACACACAGACAGAAGATATAGACCAACAGTTCCTGCAGAGAGTTAAATGTTCTTATTTATCCTGTTTGAGTATCTGTCCTCTTAAAAACATGATCATAGCTCGTCTAAACCTGAGTTTAGTTGTATAAACTTGGTATAATTATGAGTGATACCGACCTTCTGACAAGTGAAACTAATGATAATAACCACCATAGAGTAAATCAAACCAGATTAAAGTATCTTTAATTAAAAAGCGGCTTTGTACAAGTGTGTTTTATTGTCCTGTCTCAGATCTCTACAGAAACCCAGCAGCCTTCTCTCCGACGCTCCTGGCAGGTCCGAGAACGCGTCGGCCTGCAGGTCCCGGTGGTGCAGCGTCACAGCGGCGATGTGTCACTTCTACGGATAAACGACGGAGCTCGAACGCGTCCCGTTCTCCAGCGCCGCTCCGGGATAACGCGTGTGAGCTCCCGTTAGCCTCGAACACCTCCTGCACCAGCTCCCGTGTCCGCGCCTTCCTGTCCGTGTGTGGTCGTTTGAAATCCGGGGGATGGGGATGTTCTCTCCGGCGGGTAACGCGTCCCTCGCCGCGGTGACTTTGGCGCTGCTCGCCGTCGTCCTCTGCTCTTCACCGGGTAAGATCCCCGGCTGCTCGTCCAGGCCGCGCCGCCAGCTCCCGGTAACGGGATTTCTAACGGTCACATCCCCGATAACGTTGTCCCTCCTCCGGTCTGCACGGCCGGGTGTCACGGCTCTGTCAGCCCGGGAACGTGCAGCCTGGGTCGGTGTCAACACGACCACATGACGCTTCCCTGCTGGTGTTGTCGTGTTTGTTTTGGGCCTGGTGGTCCCTCACTAACCCTCTGGTGAACTAGTACATTTAGTTCGACCAGTTTTCACTCACAAATATTTAACATTCATTAACATTCGTCCTGTGACATCGTTCGACGCCAAAGCAACGATTACAGATTAATCGATTAGTCGATTAACCACAAATGTATTGTGACAGTTCAGTGATCACTTCTTAATAATTGTCGTAAGAAAACCAAAAAAAAATCAGCTGTCTGTACTTTTTCAAATGTCATCGATGGACTGATAATTAAGGAGAATAATCAGCAGATTAATCTATAGGCTAATAAATATAATCGATATATATGTAGAGCCCAACCTATAACAAATGGCAAATATCAGTATCTGGGTTGAATGTTTGTTGTTGTGTAAAGATGTACATTAACATTATGTTTATAGTTTTATTTTTTTTAAAGAAATTTAAATGTTACTTTTTGTTGTTTTAAATTCTATTTGTTTTTGTTTTCATTTTATTTATTGTTATTAATAATGTTAATGGTTAAAAAGTCAATGAAATTTGTTTCCATCTGGGTTCAGACGTCTTAGGAATCATTCCTACAGTCTTTGTTTTCTTAAATAAACATCGGCTCATTTATCTGTATTGGAAATGTTTTACCCCCCCAATATTGGTATTGGCATAGGCCTCCAAAAATCCACATAGGTTGTGGACTCTTTACTTCATGTCTTTTAAGAATAGCATTTTAATAAAAGTATTTTTTGTGCTCAACAAACATTATTTTTGCTGTATAGCTCAGTTTTTATCATTCATATCATACGTTTACACAGATGGTTCAAAGTGCTTGTGACTGACAGGCCCATGACCAGACAAGGGCGGGAAATAACAGATGTTTCCATAATTGATTAATCTGCCAATTATGTAGTGATGGATGTACACCCATAGAAAGTATGTAGGTTGCACTCTCAACACACAGCCAGCCTATCGTACAGTGACATAAACAGACTGACACATTCATATGAATTGGGTAGGCAGGATAATAGAAACATCTGTCAATATAACACAATACACTTAAACAGCACTAAACAATAATAGATTTAGATATTGTGCCAAACTATAGAACAAGAACAACTGCTGCTGACAGCCTCTAATGTAGTCTCCATCTTTTTAACAACTTGGGACCCGGTAAATTGTGTTTCATTTTATTAGCTCAGAGTGTGTTACAGGATCCTTCAAAGTATGTTTCAGAAAACGTTGAATATACAAACTGATGTGACTTTTAGCCGCCTGCACACACGTGGGCGTTGCGACCAGGCTTTAATTTAGTGTTGCCTTGAATTATGTATGGTGGAAAGCATAATTACACCTCCTCGTTTTTCTGACTATTCAGCTATTTCTTGATGTTTTACAGGTCAAATAATTTGTAGATTCATAGAAAATGTACATGGCATAATAATCAATAATGAATATGTAGTGATAGGTGCACTACAATAGATCTCCTCCTTTTCTATTTCTGAAACACAAGTCTTAAATCTCCCGTTTACTTTACCTGAGCCCTGATCTGTTTTCTTGATCGGGGATCTGACCTCTGCTACAGAGAAGCTTTGAATAATACATCACAACTGTGTTTGGCCTGGAATAAGAAAGACGTGAAGAAAGAAGAGCCAGTGCAAGTTGGAGATAAATCTTTATTTTCTCTTGAAGGCAGAACAAAGCTTTGTGAACGTTCAGGAGTTTTGTCACTTTGAATCTGTGCGATGAAACAGAAACAACAGCATGTTGTTATAACTGAATAATACTTCCCTCTTTCTCACATTCTGATAACCTTCCTCGATGTTGCTCTTGTGTTGCAGTCAGTGCAAATGAAGACTGCCTGTGGTACGTGGATAAAAATGGCACCTGGCACAACGGCTTCGACTGCCCTCTGATCACGCTCTGTTGTGGGAATTGTCACCGGCGTTACTGCTGCCTGGACGCCTTCAAGATGATCACAGAGAGGGAGCAGAAGCGCTGCATGCTCTTCCAGTTCAGGTGGGGGCAGCGGCTGCTGGGTTTTAATTTAATGATTTATATTTACCAATTTGCTCCACACCAAGAGTCAGTGTTTGTGCTCACAGATTGAGGCTGTCAGTGCAGGAACATATAATTTCTTTAAACCAGACATATACTTGTTCTTCAGGAGGGTATTTATTGTTGGCATGTGAACATATATCTATACACACTAAGTACACACTATATTGACAATAATATTTTTATTGAAAGCACCTTTGGACTATAGAACAAACAATGCACAAGATATAAAGAGCGATATTGTGTTGTGTGCATATAGAGCAGCTCATCTGTGTAATATCAGTAATCAAGTTGGAGACACAAGTATAGCTAAAGCAAACGGGATGTACCTGACAATTTCCATAGCAAGGAGTCTGGGTAATGATTGTTTGCTTTTTTTTTACTGATGGGAAAATTGTGTATTTATCCATTTAAACAATAAAGTGTAGCAGAAGCCAAGCAGGCTGTGGGGCTAGTGGCAGGCACTGAAACGAGGAGCATGTTAAAAGACAAAGCTTGACGTGGCAGGTAGCCGCAGCAGAAGGTGGCGACGAACCTGAGGCACAGACAATCACAGGTTTAGGATCATACAGGAAACAAACTGACGTGAAACTGTGCTGTAGTGTTGGTGTGTAGGTGACCGAAGGATCTGGAGGGATGAGAGTATGAGACACAGATGTACAGGTGGATTGATGGGATAAGAAACCAGGTCACCACACCCAGACACACACACAATAAGATTAACTGGGGATAAATCACACCACGACGACAGAGACAACTGGGATTACCGATACAGTCAGATACACCTTATCGAACCCGGTGTACATCATGACACAGTTTGTCGACACCACGGACCACTGCTGCTTAACTTTGGCATCCATAGTTAAAAATCCAGAGTTCATTCCAAACTTTCCAGATTACACATGACACAAGCTTTTTTTTTTTTTAAATGGTGGTCACAATGTTTTGCTTGGTGTAATTGGTCTTGTTGGTCATTATGAACAGTAAAGCATTGGTGCCAGATTTAAACCAGTTCTTTGAATGTTAGAATATTCAGTGGTCCTCGATTTTCCTTGGTGGAAAAGGGATATAAGATAAACTGAACTGTTCTGTTCCTTATGTCCCATTGGCAGAATGTGGCCAAATGATCCATTTTTGGTCCCTAGAGTGTAATATCATCTCATTAGTCTTTCTATCCATTCAGTGATCTGTGTGTGCTGGGGGGGTTGAGTCCCATGTGAGGAATCGTGATAATGCAGGACTAAGCAAGTTTGTATCTGAGAGGCTGCAACCGGGGAGTTTTTCTCCACAGCACTGGAAAGTGAAACCATCCATCACTATCCGAACTGATGTGACAACCACCTACTTAATAGGCCCAGTGGGAGATCAGAACAGCGGCCGGATGAAATGGAGGGTGCAAAGGAAAATTTCTCAGTTTTCAGGTATCAGGCAGCGTCTTCACAGGTGACTATGAAGTTGGCCTTAAAAGCAGTTGATTCTCTGTCTCAAGGATAACTGTGAGGACAGTGATAGAGTCAAGCTGGCCCAGGACCAAACAGCCGTTGCCACAGCAACCAAGGTCATAAAGATATGATAAACTGAGCCTACAGTGAAGAGAGGGGGGGGTTATAACAGTTAACAGAGACTAAGATGTGTTGGAACCTGGCCGAAAAATAGATGAAGGATCTCCGCCATTAAATGATTTTGTGTCTGAATCACATTTCCACTTTAAATCTTTCTAATAGTGAGTTGCAATTAGGGAGATAGAGGGGCAGGAATGCACTTTAGGCTACAAGATCAATCTGCGCTCTCTTCTTCCTTTCCTCTCAGCCCCACCACTTTAGCTGGCATTGCCTCCTCCATCCTCCTGTTTGTGGCCATCATTGCCACCATGGTGTGCTGCTTCATGTGCTCGTGCTGTTACCTCTACCAGAGAAGGCAGCAGAGAGGCAGGACACCATATGATGGTAAGACCTCTGCTCTTCATGACAAAATCAAGTCCAATTTTATTCACAAAGCCCAAAATCTATCAAGTATTTAAAGTCACTGCTGACACTTTCAGTCCAACTGCATTCGTGGCTTGTGGGGTCCCACAGGGCTCTGTCTTTGGCCCTATTTTGTTTAACCTGTATCTGTTTCCCCTTTGTCATGTAAGTCGTTATTTTATTCTACTGAAAACATAAAAATATTCCCTTCACTTTCATTGTTCACCTGCCTGAATCTGCAGCTGGTACAGAATGTAGCAGCAAGACTTATTATTTGCTAACTTTTCATTTACATTTTATTTTGTGAAGCACCTTGTAACTCAGATTTTGAAAGGCTCTATAGAAATACAGTTTATTATAACATGTATTATTATTAAAATCATACATTTAACTCAAGGGCTTACCAATCTGCACAACATTATGAGACCCTCTGTCCTTAGACACTTGATTTATTTCCACCAATCATGTAGTTTTCCTTCACTGCAGACTCAATATTGATATTATTGATCTCACAGCCCAGCAGATCCCCATGGCCAGCTACCCACTGGAGCCCATGTACGACGCTTATGGAAAACCACTGGGACCCTCTGAGTATCCGCATGCAGGTTATCCATTGCCAGCCCAGTACCCTGGCATGCCCCCACAGTATCCGGTGATGCAGCCTGGCCCGTATCCACCACACCCAATGGATCCTGCTTACAGCCAGGGTAAGATTAGCACAACTTCACAGAGCGATAGTGACTTGACATTCTGTTGAACTGTGATAAAGGCTGTAAAACATCCTGGTCATGATATTAAATGCACATTTCCTTGATCATCTTTCAATCTTTTGCTCTGTGACAGTGTGTAGAATGTACAGTGTGTAGAATTTTGTGATATCTAGTGTTGAAGTTGCATGTTGCAGCTGAACACCCCTCACCTCACCCTCTTTAAATAGAACTTATATATATTTAGTACCTAAATCAATGAAGAGCAAATTAAAGGACACAAATTCAATTTCATTCATTCTTAGAGGCTCTGTGGATTGCAGTGGTTTGTCAATCCCCCGCATGGACTTCCCATCAGCCTTTAGTCTACATCCACAGTGTCAATAATGCTACTACAGATTTTAAAGCTTCCTACAATTGAGACTTTTTGAAACAATGAGCGATCTAGATTGTTTTCATTTTAAAAAGCTGGATAACAGTGTAAATATATTAGTGTAGAGGTTGCCCTGGCTATACTCTGGGTTCACTGCTAATAAGCTAATGCTAAAAGGCTAAACAGATAGCATCAACAGGGTAAACCTCGGTGCCAACACAGCCTCTCAGAATCATGACTGTTGACTCATAATCATGTTATTCAGTTCACATCAAACTAATTTAAAAAACAAACCAACATATTATTTAGCATTTTATTATGAGAAGAAAAAAAATTAACTGAGCTTAATATTGCCTTGAAAAAAACGTAGATTTGTAGTTGATTGTCATGAAGATGTGACTTAAGTATATTTTTGTGTGTTTGCTCATGTTTCAGCTCCTCCACCGTACTCTCCACCTCAGTATCCTGGTCATTGATGGGCTCATCTCCACAAACACACAGTGGGAAATCACAGCAGCTGAGAGAAATGACTGTTTCGAGAGGAGAAGGCAGCAACACTCTCACACACACTCCTACAAACACACACACACTTCTACAAACACACACACAGTCAAACAAACACTACGGCTTGACTAGCAGTGCTTTGCCTGTAAAAGAGAAGGAAAAAAAAGGCACTTTAAGATTTTTTTTTTTTTTTTTTGCCCTACTTTTCTGGAATATTTACATAATTCAAATCCTGCCCTACAACCTGATTGCTTCTGGTCGGTTTCACAGAGAGCTTCACGCCATTCCCC